GCTCGCTAACTCCAGGACCAGGTACCGGGCTGGCGGGCCGCCTGGTGCGGTCCAGGGATCATCCGTCCATCCTCTCCCTGCCTCCGACCCCATCTCCTCCGGGCGGGCCTTGGTCCGATCGGCCATCCCGGGCCCCCTCTCACCGACTCCAACTCCATTCCCTCCGTGAGCCGTTGCATCCCGAGAGCAGCATAGGCTTGGGCCTGGCGGGGCGACACCGGAGCGGAGTTACCGGGCGGGAGAGGCGAGCGCCTGCCTTCCCGCCCCCTCGTCCCCCCCTGACGTACAGGTGGCGAACTCGGGGCCCAGGTTCAGTGTGTCCTCCTCGAGCCCAGAGACGGCAGATCCTGCCTCTCCGCCCCCTCGCCCTCATCCCCATCTTCCCAGGCTGGACAGGCAGCGGGTCGAGACGCTGGAAGCACAGAGATTCGGGTGACTCCCCGAATTAGCGAAAACAAAGAGCTCCCCAGCGTCTTGTTTTCCAAGTATGTGCAGTGTCCGCGGTAGGTTTGGGGTGGAGACCGCGGGCGGGGGTATGGGAGGGAGTGCGAGGAAGGGGCGTGGTTAACGAAAATAGTCCAAGTTCCCGGGAGATGGGCGACCAACTTCCCTGCCCAGCCTTCCGCCAAGACGTCCCAACACACCCTCAGTGTATCCCCCAAAGGGGAGAAGCCCTTCGAATCGGTCCCTTAATTGTCGCAACAGCTGTTGAAGTAGAACCATCTTCCAGAAGGTATCTGCGGCATCAGGCAGTTCTTCATGGAGGGATTGGTGTGTTCTAGGGACACCCAAGACCTTTTCTCCTCCCTGAATCTTACCCGATTACCTGTCTCCGGCCAGGAGCCTCTCCCGCCATTAGTTACACTGCTGAGCTAGCTAATCGGTTCCCCCAGCCTTTAACCGGGCTTCTTAGAGGTTTTGTGGCTCAAATGCCGTATTTATAGTTGTAACCTCCGACATGGAGGAAGTTTAGAAAACCAGGGTCAAAAATAGGAGGTGGGGGGGAGGAATGAGTAAACGAATCCTCCTTGCTATACCATTTGTCACCTGGTCATCAGCATTGTCCAATCAGTTGGTGCCTTCTCAGTCATCATTATACCTTTGCACACACAGTCTTGACAGGTCTCCTCGGCATCTCTTGACAGGTTTCTGGGGCACAGGCATTGGAACAGACCTCATCAGTCCTTTACCACTTGGCTGTGTGACTCTGGGTGTTGAGCCTCTCTGAGCCTTAATTTCCTGATCTATAAAACAGGGAAGATAATACTTATTGTGAGCTGATCTCTGCGAAGCTTTTAGCACAGATCCTGGCACACAGTAAGTTCACCTCCAATGTTTGCTGCTTTTATTCTTACTATTATTAAGTTAGCAGATACGGGAGTGCCCATATTATGTGTTGGGCACAGTAGTCCCTGGAAATGCAACAGTGAACAAGATAATTCCCTACCCTCAGGGAAGTTAAGAGTGTGATAGATGTAAGGGTTGAATACAGAGGCCAGCCTGGCCTGTGTGGCTCAGTGGTTGAGCGTCAACCATGCACCAAGAGGTCGCTGGTTAGATTCCCGGTCAGGGCACATGCCCAGGTTGCTGGCTTGATCCCCATTATGGGGCATTGATGTTTCCCTCTCTCTCCCTCTCTATTTTTTCTTTCTTTTTTAAAATATATTTTTATTGATTTCAGAGAGGTAGGGAGGAGAGAGAGATAGGAACACCAATGATGAGAATCATTGATTGGCTGCCTCCTGCACGCCCTACATTAGGGATCAAACCCACAACATGTACCCTGATCGGGAATCAAACCATGACCTTCTGGTTCATAGGTCGATGCTCACACCAGCCATGCAGAAAGCAGGATCTTGAAAGTTTTCCGTTGGGCTCCATTTCCTCCCTGCCTCTCAAGTGCCATGTCCTCACTTTCCCAAGGCTCTTCCCAGCCTTCTGCTTTTCTCTCACCATTTTCTCCTTTAGTGAGTTCCTGTCACTTGTATAGCTTTAGCTCCTAACTCCGACTCCACGTAGCCTCCTCTAACCTCTCTGTTGAGCATCAGTCTTAACTTTTCTAACTGAATACTATATATTTCCTCTTGGAATATATAACTTTTCTCAATTGAAATATTTAAAAAGTTGAACTCATCTTTCCACCAAAACCACTTCCACCTCTGAGCTTTCCTGTTTTCTTGTTGACACACTACTCTTTTCCCAGTTACTTGAACTCACACAAAAAATCAGTCGTCAGAGTTGTCCACAGATAGGATGGGCTCCCTGATAAGGTAGTGAGTCTCTGGCCTGGGACATTTTCAAGCAGAGGCTAGATAACCTTATATCCAAGAGTTTGTAAAAGCTATTCCTCCAAAGGGTGCAGGATGGGCTAGATAACTTATGGTGTCCTTACTAACTAAATACATTTAATTTTTCTTCTCCCCTATCCGTCAATTTCTTAACATTCCCTCTACCACAGGCTCTTTCACCACAAATATGGTCCATTATAATTGTATTCTAACTGGCATTCCTTTCTCGGTTATTTTTACACTCCACTCTCCCTCCCCCGCCCCCCATCCCTTTTCAAGTTAATATTCCTTCTATGTTCCTTAGAACAAGGCTTCTCAGATGTAATGGTCCACAGATCAGCACATTACCATTATCTGGGAGCTTGTTAGAACCACCAGACCTTCTGAATAAAAATCTGCATTTTAACAAGATCCTCAAATGATTTGCATGTACAATAAAGTTTGAGAGACACTACCTTAGACCACAGTTTTGTGTTTGTCCCCTTTCTGTTCAAAGCCTACAGTGACTTTCTTCTGCTGAATAAAATCCATACTCTAGCATCACTTAAGACCTACTCATTGCTCTCCTATATGTGGAATTCTGCTTCTCTAACTGCCCCCATGAGGTGCTGACACACTTCTCAGCACATTTGGTCAGTCGTTCAATAGTACTGTGTGCCTGCTATGTGGTAGGCACTGTTCTAGAAACTAGGAGATCTATACGTCTCTGGACAAGACAGAGTAAGCAACGGACAATAGCTAATCCTATTTCATGCTTAGAATTCACTCAAGCCCCACCTCTCCATGAAACTATGCAGATCCACCTCTGCTCCAGTAATCGTTCCCTTTGCTGAGCTCCATAGGGAGTTGCCCATTTCTACTTGTGCATCCCCAACCTCCTGATTTAAAATTTTTAAAGGTGGGCCAGGCATCCATAGGTTTTGTTTGTTCTTTGTTAATCCTCACCCGAAGATATTTTTCCATTGACTTTAGATAGAGTCGAAGGGAGAGAGAGTGAGAGAAACACCTCTTTGCCCTAGCTGGGTTGCTCAGTTGGTTGAAGCGTCATCCCATACACCAAAAGGTGGCGGGTTCAGTTTCCAGTCAGGGCACATAATTAGGTGGTAGGTTTGATCCCCGAACGGGGCACAACTGGTGGATGTGTTTCTCTCATAGATGTTTCTCTCTCTCACTCTCTCCCTCTCCCACCCCCCGGTCTCCTTCTCCCTCCCTGCCCTCCCTCTCTTCCATTCTCTCTAAAAAAATAAATGAAAAAATATCCTCGAGTGAGGATTAACAACAATAATAAAAAAAGAAATAATGCAAGAACATTTCAAATATAAAAGTGCAGATGGGCTAGAAAACAGCTGGTTCAGATTGTAGGAGGAGGATGGAGGGCCCTGGAAGGCACTCTCCAGGGGAGTTTGAATGTATGGAAAAATATATTGGTAAGACAAATAGCAGAGATGTTGAAATATTTGGAAAAACTTAATAGCTACATGGAAAACCAAGAGAGGGAAAAAAATGAGGCAATGATTAAATGTTTATAAAGAAAGAAGACATGGTCAGCTTTACCTGTTTGCCCAGCTGCAAACTATGTTTGCATAGTTACAGTCATGTAAACGTGGATACCGATTTCATCAAACATGTGCCAGCACTGCATCAGAAGAATGAAGGCAGGAAAGTGGAGTGCAAGAAGGTGACACAGGAGAGCTTAGTCCCCATCTACCATGGTAGGAAGTTAGAAGATAAATGACTAAAATGGGTAAATCATGGCCATATACACACGAAGAATGATGATGAGTCCTGGCTGGTGTGGCTCAGTTGGTTGGGCTTCATCCCATGCACCGAAAGTAAGGTTGCTGGTTAGATTCCTGATCAAGGCACATGCCTGGGTTGATCCCCGGTCGGGGGCATGCAGGAGGCAGCCAATCAATATTTTGTTCTCATATCGATGTTTCTCTGTCTCTCTCTTGCCCTCTCCCTCTCTCTCTGTAAAAAAATTAATAAAAACATTAAAAATTTTAAAAAATGATGATGTTAAACAGGCACATGAATAGAAGATAATTACTTCTGGGAAGGAGTCAGTGTGGATTGAGCCAAGAGAGGTTTAAACATTAAAGAAGAAAACCATATAATAAACTTCTTTCTTATAGAAGTTGCAGTATTTCAGATTGTACTTGGCCAAAGTACATCCAGGCCAATTGTCACTGAAAGTTTCTCTAAGCAAATCTTTGGAATCTACAATTTATAGGCTTAGTACAGAACTTTGAATGGTAGATTTGCAGTAAGTTTTTGTTAATCAAAAGATATTTCTACAAAAAGAGATTTGACTAACTCCACCTGTTTCTATTTTCCTTTTAGGTTTAAATTTTTGAAATTGAAATAGGCCTACACATTAGGAACTCATGTCTTTTCTTGTAAGTAAACCAGAGCGAATTAGGGTGAGTGTTTCTATTCTTCTGGCTTTATCGTTTTTATTTCCTGAAGAGCAAAGTGCTTTGGCAGTACTGTAGGTGGTTTGTTATGTGAGGTTCAGAATCATGCAGAAGAGAGGGGTGTGGGAAGTAAACTGGGTATCGCAGCCTCCACTCGGAGAACAGAGCTTGCAGGCAGAGGCTGACCAGAGACACAGAATACACCCACCAGCTTGTCTGATAGAGAAGAAACAAGGTGGTGTGTTTTGTGAAAATCCATCATTCAACATTAAATGAGTTGAATGTGTAGGTATGTAACCACTAACCATCTGCCCATTTCCTATGTATTTTTCAGCGATTTTGTGTGTTTGAAAAATCAGTATCAAATTGTAATCCTTGGAACACTTTTTTCTAAATATAATCATAGGTTTTCATTGAAAACTTTCTTAACGTGAAAAAATTTATTATACCCAAAAACTTCACCAGCTAAAATGACCTTGAGAATGAATACTAGATTTAGCCTCTTTACAAGCTACCATGATTTCATAAAAGAGTGTATTTTATTTTTTATCAAGTATTTAATTTCTGAATGTAATAGTAATTATTTTAAAATCTTGCAACAATGTATAAATGCTATGATACATGATGAATATATCACTTTCTTTAAATATTAAAGTGATAGTTTATTTTTACTAACTATCTTGTGGCCCAGTGCATGTGATTTTTTTTATATCAAGTGTTTTTTAATTGATAGTGTTGTGTTTTTTAATTTAGAAAAAATTTTAATTTGGAGAAGGAGAGAGAATGATGTTATAGTTCCAAATTATAATTCATATTATGCAACTTATTTCTGAATGTTGCTTAATCTTTTTTCTTATGTTTATATATATAAGAACAATTTACATTGTAAAGAGTAAACTTCACTGTCAGCTGAGAGGAAAAACAGATTCTCTCCTTAGCCAGAACTCTGCCCAGTGGAAAGAATGTGTCCAAGCCAAAGTTTAACACCAGTCCTTATGTGAAATACAACCTTGATTCCATTGCTTTTAAATGTGAGCTTCTTTTCTGTTTCAACCCACTCTGATACAGGTGAAACCAGACCACTGATCAGTATGTGGAAACCCAATACTCGGTTGAAATAGGCCAGTAAAGTAAACCATAGATTGATCATGCTAGTTCCGTCCTTGTAAAAGTAGCATTTGGTAGCAAATGTTAGCAGCGATGACTTTAGAGATTCTACTGGATGAAGGATATGCAGCTAGTAATTTCCTTTTACAAACTAGTAGAGGCTTGTGAAAAACTTCTGTTTCATCCCTATTTTCTATATTGTGAATTCTAGTAATTTTCAAATTGGCCTGAGCATCTGTAATAGGTAGCCATGGAATGAGTAAGATGGAGCCAAAAGGTTGTTTTACATGTAGAAAGGAGAAAAACATTCTTCATTCTCAGGGCCAGTACTGGGTTCTTCTCAATTTGCCAGATTTAAGAATAATTCATCAAATTAGGCAAAGAGGAATAGAGAAAGGAATTCATCTATTGTTTTCTGCTGTTAAATTCAAGATTCTTTTCAAAACTTTTCCATAGAAATGTATCTTAACTGTAATGCATGATTCTGTTTTTGTAGTTGTGTTTTGTTTGTCTCTCTAACGGCTGAGAGCTAATTTTTTGTGGTTTGGAAGAAATACTAATTCTCTTTGGGGTTTTCCTCTTTAGCGGTGGGTCTCGGAAAAGTTCATTGTTGAGGGCTTAAGAGATTTGGAACTATTTGGAGGTAAGTACAGTATGGCATTTAGCCATCACTTCAGGATAAATCTCACTGCTCTTTTGTTGACTAAATCAATTCACAGAAATTAACAATTCTAAGGGAAAGTGTACACTATAGTTGCTATATTTATTTGGCTCCTTTTGAATCCATGGTTTCCCAAAAACTTGAGGACTAATCTGGCAGTTGTCATTAGCCTGTCTTGATTATTAGAAAGCCAGTATTTACTCAAAGGCACATGTATTTCTCCTAAGTATTTGTCCAATTGAAATACATATTCTTAAAGGAAAATATAAGTGTTTAAAAGTTGCTAGCCTTGAAGATTTTAAAAGTAAAATTTTAGTTAGGATGAAGGTAGCAATGGTATGAAAGTTCTGGTTTTACTGATCAGTCTAGTTGACTCATCTTTTCATGGCAGAAATTATGAGACTTAAGAGAACCAAGGAAAAGATCCATCAGAACAAAAATATTAACTTCCTATTGGAAAACCCAAATGCTGATTTCAGAAGTTATTTAGGTTTGCAACTTGGAGCTTTAACAGGCACAGGCATTTTCCTTTGGCTATTTTCAAACTGAGCCATTTGGGGAACTGTGACCTTTTACAGTAAATAAAATCCTTTTCTATAAAAATAATAGCAGTCGGGCTGCATTCTTTGTGTCTGGACACCAAGATACTCTCGTTGGCACCTGTAGCTAAAGAAACAGGTTATCAGATTGAATGCATTTGGTGACTGATCCAGAATACCCCGAATAGGCCTAAGTAATTGAAAACTCAAACTTGTTAATTACTAGGTGATACCTATGAATTTATTTTCCCTAATGCCACTCAACAAACTTCTGGAGCAGTATTTTTTATCAGCCTTGTCAAAGGATTGTGTTTTAGATAAATGAGTTCAGAAAAATGATGAGTTATTTTTGTGTTCCTTATAAAGAATAAAAATTAGCTGTACAATAAAGGAAAGGCTAACGGAACAGAAATACTACATTCTGGTCCTATCCTCAATTTCTTCCCATCATTAATGGGGATAAAATGGTTTTAAAAAAAGTAAACATTGCATTGATGGAAATTGAATTGGGAATCCAGTGGATAATCAATTAGTTTAAAATATTCCAGTGTATGTGAATTGAATTTATGGATTTTGGTTTCAGTATAGGATCCTGAGTGTAGGATCTCTGGCTATCTTTTTACAGTTCCCTGGTCTCTCATCTGAGGCGGGTGAAGAGATTCTTCTGTATATTGCTTACATACTTATGTTACCAAGTTTTGTACAACTTGGAATTTGCCCTCTACTCTGGAAGATTGGGTTTGATTTCCTTTAATCTAGTCACCTTTGGCAGACTGTCTTAAGCAAGCACTGCTCCTGCCATTTGTGTACCAGAAAACTGATGCTCAAGACAAAAATATATATATATATTATTTTGATAAATTGAGGCTAATTGACTCTCCTCTAGCACAGTTGGATGTTATAATTTCTAATATAAGAGATTTGGAAATGTATTCCAATATTTTAGAGTTAAAAATCTTGCTTTGATTATTTTTATCACTTTTACAGAATGGAGAAAATCAAAAGCACAGATACGTAATTTGTCCACTTTAAGAGCAGAAAGTTGTTTCAGTTGTCTTTTGCTTTCTTCGTTTTCACCAAAAGCAGCAGAGGGCTCCAAAGCCTGTGCTCTATTTGCATTCAGAATAGAATGTCTGACTAGAGAATCTAATTGGGTAATGGTCCCACATACATGTGTTGCTGTATTAAAACTTTTTTTAGAAAACCTGTTTTCTTGTCCTGCACTCCCTGGGAAATAGCCAGCTAACACTTTAACTTTATAATGAATTGTTTGTTCACAGTATTAGACTCTGAAACCAGGTTATTGAAAGTAACATTGTGTGCTGAGGAAAAGTCAATGTATGACCAGAATTATAGCAGTTGAGTTATACTCAGTAAAATATACCCATAGAACAGTTCCCTGGTCAAGTTTTGAAGAGCCATAGATTCATTTTAAAATCCCATCTTATCTGCAGCATTTTTTACTGTGGATGTGTGTGTGTGTGTGTGTGTGTGTGTGTGTGTTTATATGTAGCACTGCAGGCACTTTTCGCTGTAATGACTCTTAAGTGTTTTCTATTAATAAATGTAGTCCTAAGTGCAATAGTTGCTGTTCTGAATGTGGGTGTGTCTTTTACTAAAAAACAAAATGCCAACAACCCATTTCTCTACTCCAGAGCAGCCTCCGGGTGACACTCGGAGAAAAGTAAGTGACTTTCTAGGCTCTACCCCTGTGGCTGCTGCATGGAGATGACTTCTTGTGGCAATTCATGTGTTTTGTTGGCTTATCATTTTATGTTTCTGCTTATCTGTCATTGAGCTTTATTTTAAGTATAATTCTTTCACTTGTAGAGATTCAGGTTTCACCCTGGAAAGATTTTGATGTAGACTTTGAAAACTGAAAAAAAAAAATCTCAGGCACTTTTTGCCTCTCTCCTGGGGATTAAGGTCTCCTCCCCTTCCCAACCCTCCCAGTCGCCCGCCACCCCTCCAGAAAAGGAGAACGTTTCAACAATCTGAAATGTCGTTACCTTTTAGTGGCCGGTGGTATTACATTTTCCACACTTAGTCTATGAATAAGAGATGGTAGACCACAGAGATGACATTGATCTCTGTCTAGATTGTAAGGCAGGACCTCAAATCTCCTACCTGAAAAACAAAGCCCAAAATTAAAAACTATAAAACAGAAAATGCATTTTTTATCATTAGCAAAAGCTGTAAGACCTACCCTGCTTCCAACTCTTCTAGCTTGTTTTACCTAAGGAAATAACACACAATGCACATAGCATACTAAGCTATTTTTGATAATGTGAATCAGGGAGAGGGTAAGAAGCCTTTTCTAAATAGACTTCCTATTCTTTTATTTATTTATTTATTTTTATTGATTCTAGAAAGAGAGGAAGGGAGAGGGAGAGAGAGAAACATCGATCGGCTGCCTCTCACACGAGCCCCAACCAGGGGCCAAGCCTGTAATCCAGGCGTGTACCCTGACCGGGAGTCAAACCTGCGACCTTTAGGTGCATGGAATGACACTCCAGCCAACTGAGCCACACCGGCCAGGGCGACTTCCTACTCGTTCCAGATGACAGACATATGCACCTTTGCAAGCAGCCCCAGTCAAGTGAAGGATGATGATGTTGACTAGGAATTTTGAGGAAAGCTTTGGCTGTGCTTACTTAGTCTGCTAGCCAGGAGTAAGCACCTCTCTCTCAGATCCAAATATTTTCCAGTCAGGAGACCAAACATGTTTTCTATAGGCTCAATTGGGTATTTTTCCAGAATGCAGTGCCAATTATATATAATATTTCTATTTTCACAGCTGCAGATGTTACACCAAAAAGTTATCCTGTGTGAAACCTGTGGTTGAATGTGTTCATTTGGTAGCAGTATTGTCTTTGTGTCCTTTGTTGTATTTTGTTCTGAACTCTTTAAACGAAGTTATGTTATGGTCATTTCTGGATATCAGTAGCTTGTGTATTTTTTAAATGTTTCAAAATGAAAAAATTGCTTTTCATGATGGGGGAACTAAGACTAGGCTTTGCTAGAATCAGTTTCTTTCTCTAGGCAACTTGAGATTATGCATTACACGAATAAACCTATGCTGTGCTGTGTTTAAAGAAAATGGACTAGGTATTTCATCCTTTTCATCTGAATTCTGACCTTTTCTAAATCTGAAACAACATAATGAGGCAATATCAGACCAGATCTCCTCCTTGCAAAATACTGCCTTTGTTTTCCTCAGTAAAGGTTGGTTTTTCTCTGAGCTCAACCTAGAGGACCTCCACAGAGTAGAAAGCCTCAATGCAGTGCCGTTTCCAGTCGGCTCGGGACAGAGTGGTCGAGGAACCACAGCAACCACTAGGCTAGTTCATTTCATGCAATTGCAGATTGCCCAAGAATTCATTGAGTAGTTTTCTATAGTCAACAAAGATAGTAGAAATATTTGTCAAGTTATTAACTATTCACATCAGTAGTTTAATGAATCATTCCCTACCTAGACTCAACAAGTGTGTGTCTTTAGAGTGTAGCCTAGTGTAGCAGTTGTTTTATATGCACTCCTAGCAAGGAAGAGAGACACAGGTAATAAAAAAGTATCTATATGTAATTTTCCAAAGGGAGTTATTTAAAATGTATGTAGTAAATATTTTAATCTCAGGACTCCAGCTGAACTTTGTAGTCTCGTTCAAATTAGAGAAACATTAAGGAGTTTGCCTGAAGATCAGAGAACTTCAAAGTAGCCCTAGATTTATTCTTGTTGAGACCATATTGTTACTTGCTAACATATGCAGTACAGTAGGTCCTCACTTAACATTGTCAACAGGCTCTGCAACTTTAAGAGAAACAGCGTATTACCATAGGCTAACTGATAAACACAAGAGTTAAGTTCGTACAGCATCTCATCAATTTTATAACGAAACAACATTGAATGAAACAGTGTTCTTTGAGGACCTGCTGTACTTTCTCACATGCAGGTACAGATTCTGATCTATAACATGCCCCTAGTGAACGTGTTATATGAGGGCTGGCATTTCCAGTATAGGTCCTTATATTGAAGCCTGTCTCCAATGGAACTGGCTGGCACCTTTACCCTGCTCTCCTTTTCAACCCGTAGGAATGATGAGATCATGGGCAGAAAACCTCCTCATTAAACTTTGTTTAAATGACTTTTTAAGTGTGTTCCAGCACTGTTGTATTTGACCAGCATACGAAATAGGAGCTGACCTGAGGCCTCCATAGACAATGCCTGCATTGTTGTAGGCGTTGGGGAATGATACATCAGTGAGCAAGACCAATCAGGTCCGTGCAGCATGGAGCCTGCATCCTAGTAGAGAGACAGCCGATAGGTAAACTGCAGTAATTCCTACTATGAAGAAAGGAAAGCAAGATAATTAAGTGACTAGGAGCCTATTTTACTTTAGCTGGACAGTCTTCAATGAATAAATGACGTTTAAGTCGAGACCTCAGTAAGAAGGATAACCAGCCATGAGTAAACGGCAGGGGCAGGCGTAGGGCAGCTGGAGCAACAGAGTCAGGGAGGGTGCTTTGGCGGCAGGTCCTAGAAGCCGGGAGGGTCCAGCTCGTGGGCACTCACAGCCAGAGGGGGGAGCTGGGTCTGAGAGCAACCCCTGGATTCATGCTGACGGGTGGTGCGGGTTTAATTGAGTAGATTGATACTTGAGAACACAGGATTTGCAGAGCAAGACTTGCAGGCGGTTAGAGGTATAATGGCAAAAATATGGGATTCTTTAAGAATAAGCGTGCAGCTCGTAAATGCTAAATAAAGGGGGAGTCATCATTTCAGAGCTCTTGGTTTAAGCTTTTTGCTCAAATTGCTACTCCATTTTTATCTCTCTCACCTGTGAGAGGCACCCAGCATGTAGTAACCAGTCTCTGCAGATTGTTCCAAAGACAAAGTAGTTTCAAGAAGCTACAGTGGCTATTACATGATCCTAGAATTTGATTTCAGAACATTTGAAAACACAGGTAAAACACAAATGTAAAAACCAAAATCAAACCAACCTTAACTGTTGATCAGGCTCTGCTTAGGATTCTGTTTTCTCTGTTCCACCTTATTTGTTGAGCAGGAGAGTGCCCAAAAAGCAGACACCAAAGAGGGAGGAGAAGAACAGAATTCACATTTACTGAAAACCCGGCGGTGCTAGGCTCTTTACATATTGTATCTCATTACATTGTCACAACAACACTATGAAGTGGGAATTACTCCACTGATGAGACAGCGGAGATCCCAGGAGAGTAGAGTGACTTACCCAGGGTCACAGAACATGTGATAGACCTGAGTTCAAGTTCTGCCTCTGGCTCGCCCCTAAGCCTATGGTCTTTGTGTTACACCATATGTTTTACTTAAAGTAGCCTTTCCCAAATTATCTTTTCCAACATTTAACAGATGTTAGGCACAAAAGGGTTCTGTGGACAAGTACCTTTGGGAAGTGTTAAGCTGAACAAAGTTGAACAAGTTTCCTTACTACAGGACTTCTCAGAGCCTTGAATATGTAGGTATGCCTGGTGATTCTCCATGAGAGAATGTCTGCATTTGCTAACTTAATTGGACGTGTAAACTTTGGGGAAACCCTACATTAAAACAACTCAGTAGAAAAATGGACAAGAGACAGAAAGAAGCACTTTCACCTTGGAGAAAAGCCACATGGCCAATAAATATATGAAAAGATGTTCAACTTCATTAGCAATCAGGGAAATGTAAATCAAACCCACTATGAGACTGGCAAAAATTAAGTCTGAACACAAGTGTTGGGGAGGAAAAGATGGATCAACAAGAACATACATACATTGCTGGTGGGAGTGTATATTGGTATAACCGTTTTTGGAAAACAATTTGGCATTATCTCGCAGTTGATTGTGCATATACTCTGTGACCCAGCAATTCCACTCCTAGGTACAAGCTATAGAGGAACTCTTGCATATATGAACAGGAGACACATTCAAATGTTTCTAGTAGCACAGTTCAGAGTAGCAGAACTGAAAAACTACCCCAAAAGCCCATCAGCATTGGAATGGATAAACTGAGCTAGTTCCCCAAGATGAACATGACACAGCATGGGTGTACCAAAGGCTAAATAGAACATGGATGAAGCTTAGGAATGTAGCAATTGATTAAGTTAGAATAATAATCTGCTGACAAAGCTCAATTTTGCTTGACTAGGTTCCTCTACTGTCAGCGTAAGTGGTACAGGAGGCAGAACCCCACTTAGTTTCTTTTTTTATTGGCAGTATCAACTGTTTTGAAACCAGGTACACTTGAAACATCAGGGATCCCCAACAAGGAGGTTCTGCCATATTAGAGCATTCTCAGTCACACTCCTCTGCTGAGCCTAGGGCCTTTCATAGTTCACAAAGACCTTTTCCTGACTAGAGGTCAGCATTCGAAATCTGAGCTGGCTTGAGGCTCTCCATTTCAGTTAGACACGCATCCAAAGAAAAAGAATCCAAAAGAAAGGAAAATACTCATGAAATGACTCAGTCCCCCAGTTATACAAATACATTTCCGTCTGGAAGAAGGAACTGAAGGAAGAGCTGCTGGTCTGCCATGTATTTTGCTGGGTGCTTTCCTTCAGTACCTCGAAGGCCAATGGTGTGACGCCCACATCCTAAATGGCTGGGATCCAGCATCATTTGCAGCACGAATGGGCAGGAATGAGGAGCAAGTCACTTTTGCTGCCTGGGATGATAGCTGAGACCTGACAGCTCTCTCTCTCTCTCCCGCAGCCCAGTTATGTTGGCTGTGTTCTTGCTTCCCTTGGAAATGTCTGAGGGACTGATTGGTCTGAGGTCTTGGTTTGCTAGAGAGAGGGCTTCTTATGGCCACATTTTCCCTATAGCAAGGTTCAGCATTTGATCTTTGGGATCTTATCGTCAGGACCTTAAAAACAGGACCCTCATGAAGCAGGAAACTCAAGAGAACCTCCCATCTCTCCATCCCCTTTCTCTTCTGTAAATGTCTTCTCACCACACATCCTTCCCCCAAGTAGGAATTTCATCGTGTTCACCATGCTGTGTACCTGAAACTAATATTGGGTGTTATCGGTAACTGAAAAACATTTTTAAAATTTTTTGAAAGAAATTTATAGTTCTTAGCAAATGAGCCAGTTGTGGGAAGGACAAGCAAATCAACATCTGGCTGGAACTGGCCCTTGTCCCCCACCCACATTCGTGGATGGTGCTACATCGAACACCTGATGTTTTACTTCACATTCCTCATCAAAGAGTGCTGGCACCAGAGCCAGAATTTCTGCTTGTTTAGATGCCAGTCTCCTCGTGGGTCTGAATTACCGCCTCCCCACTCCCATCCCACCCCCAATTTTCTCTTCTTAACCGATTTTTCTTTTTCTTTAGACCAATGAGGCGAGCTCAGAGTCGATAGCATCCTTCTCCAAGCAGGAGATCATGAGTAGCTTTCTGCCGGAGGGAGGGTGTTATGAGCTGCTCACCATTATAGGTAATGTCCAGGGACTGCCAGGACCTTGGAGCTCCAGGGGGTGGGCGCTGCAGCTTCCCCACATCACCATGAATGTGTGCCTGAGGCTGTCAGCTACTTAGAAGACTGTGGTGACAGAACTGGCTTTGTTGTGTCTTCTTGGGTTTGTTTCTCCTAGTATGGGAAAAGAGATCATGTTCCCAAGAAAGGAGCTCTTATAATTTTTTCTTTTTGGCTGAATGCTTCTGGTGTCCTGGGCCAGTGTCAGTCAGAATGGTTGGCTGAGAAGGAAATACTAGGAGAAGAGTCAAGAACTGTCAGCCATGAAAGTAACAGTAGTGCAAGTCTTAACTTGCATTTTCTTTTGAAATCAAGTTTCTTGAAGGAAGAAGGAAACCTTTGCTGTTGTTCACCTTACTTATGGCATTCCTCTGTTCTTTTAGGCAAAGGATTTGAGGACCTGATGACAGTGAATCTAGCAAGGTACAAAGCAACCGGAGAGTATGTGACGGTACGAAGGATTAACCTAGAAGCTTGTTCCAATGAGATGGTGACGTTCTTGCAGGTAAAAAAGAATGTGGATGTGACACTTGGAGGGTGGGCTCTTTGCTCCAGTAGTAATTACAAGGCATCTCTTCCCTCCATCTTCTGAAAGCAGCTGACAGGAAATGAAGGTAGACCACGCCGATAAGCTACGGAAGCTCTTAGTGAATAACCTTGGGCATTTGGCACTGAGGATTCCGTAATGCTGCCCAGCCCAATCTATATTCCTTTCTTCTACAAGGACTCCTTCCTGCCTCATTTATTTATTATTCAGAGAGGCTAGGCCACTCTCCTGCTTTTAGCACCCTATTGGCCTGAGGTTCCTTTCTATTGGAGAAGCAAGTAGCTACCCTCTCATTTAACTGGAGAGACCACAGGTCTAACAACTGGCTGGGGACCGAATTCTCCTTGGCTGATGAAGGCTTGCACTGAGAACTCCTCGATTTAGGGCCTGGGTTAGCGTATTTTCAATAAAGGTAGTTGCACCCCTTCCCTTCTTCGTGTACAATGTTCTCCTGAAATCATGCTCATCTAATGGTGCTGTAATCCTGCTCCACAGGCTCGGAGCAGTTTTGCGGATCTGAGGATGTGACAGAAAGTCAGTCCTGACTGAGTTACTTGAGAAAAAAACATACATATCTGACTTTATTCTAGATTATGTTGGACTTCCAGATTCTTATTCTGTAGAGCAATGGACAGGCAGGAGGTACTGTCTATCTGGCCTTAGCTCACATCCCACAGGCCAGGACCCTAGTTTCTACAGTCCTCTTGTCCATTTTTTTTAAAAACATCTTTTATTTTAAAATTTTGTAGGTCTGACACTTTCTATAGCTGCTTCTAAGGAAGGGATCTCTCAATCTGAGGTTAGCTGGAGAAATAGCTTCCAGTGTTTAGTAGTTGTTTGTTCTTTAATGCTTTCTTCCCTTACCTACAACCTTTTCCTTAACAATAGGAAACATTTCTTGTTTTTCTATCTTGAAGAGGAGTTCTGTGCCGTGGTCCTTGAAGTTGAGCTAAGCTTAGGAATTTGGAAATGTTCAATCAACAGTTTGTTTTCAGCACCTCCATGGTTGGGAACTGTTATCAGCAGTTTCCCTGTTGGCAGGATTGTTTCCAGAGGCCCTCTCGTTGGCTGGCAGAGAGAGCAGAGCCTGGTTTCTCTCACTCCAGAGGGCACCTGCTTAGGCTCCGGCTGCTCCCAGGACTCTCAGAAGAGTACCCATCTTATTCATGCTGCCACCTTCCTGTTGAGTGTCATTCCTTGTGCCCCTTGATTCTGACTTCAGTTACCATTGGTTGCAGGGGGAGCTCCATGTGTCTAAACTCTTCAGTCATCCCAATATCCTGCCCTATCGAGCCACCTTTATTGCAGACAATGAGCTGTGGGTTGTCACGCCATTCATGGCATACGGTGAGTGGGAAAGGGCTCCCCGCAGAGGGGCGTTCTAAGAATCTGTTGCCAGCTGGCTTACGTGCTATATTTTTTCTCTGTTACCCTTCCCCACCTCCCCACAATTCTGTTCTTCAGGTTCTGCAAAGGATCTCATCTGTACTCACTTTATGGATGGCATGAATGAACTGGCCATTGCTTACATCCTGCAGGGGGTGCTCAAGGCCCTTGACTACATCCACCACATGGGATATGTACACAGGTGCATTCTTAAGCCTATTCACCCTTCACAGGAGCAGGGATCTGTGCCCAGGAGCCCTCAAGTAAACACTGGAAGGCTGACTGAAGTTAGTGAAGCTAGACTTGGGATTCTGCCCTTGCCTCTGAGCTGGTGGGCAGAGCATCCAACGTGTCGGTGCTGGAGCTCTTGACTTGCTCTTCACTGAGCAGTTTGGCCCTGAGTATTGATTGGGTGAGAGGGACATCTGAGGTGGACCACTGCACCTGTCTCTCCCGCTTCTTCCTTGGGGCACCCAAACTGGTGTGTGCATCCCAGAGTCGGCCCTATGCTGAGAGGCTGGGGAGAAGACAATGCTTAGTAGATGCTGCCAGGAAAGCGGCTCACCGTAGGGAAGATAACAAAATGGGACCCCTACCTCACTCCCCCCCCCCCCCCCAAGATAACCATAAAAAATGGCTGTGATACAGAGGGTCATTGCTCACACGGGGTTGGCAAGCCAATAACATCAATGTCATCTGAGAGCTTCTTAAACCCCCCCCCATACAAAGGAGCCCTTCAGGCAGATTAAAGGCCTTATGTTGATGTAAAACTACAGACTTAGAAGGAAACATAAGGAAATATTTAGAACTTCTAAATGTTTTAGAAGCACAAAACATAAGACAAAAAATTGGTGAGTTTGATTATACCAAGATTCAAGATTTCTCTCCAATAAAGGACACCTTAAACGAAGTTAAGACCTGTTCGGTAAGTAGACCTGTTCTCTAGGTGACAGCATGGAGGATGTTAGCTTTGTCTAAAACACACAGGAGGTTGGTAGGTAGCAAGGCAATCTTGTGAATCACCAAGAAAAGGATAACAAAACAATAGAAAAATGAGTGAAGGATATGAGGTTTATAAAAGAGGAAGCCTAAAGGCTAAGAGCCATATGAGCAACAATCAGAAAAGCAAAGCAGGAGGATGTGAGTCTACATACCAGGCACTGGCATATTTGGAGGCTGAGGGAAGCCCAATGCGGTGAGGCGGTGGGTTCGCCCGTCTGTATAGTGGAAGACGGCCCGACACAGCCAGTCAGGGTCACTGGAAACCAGAACCATCAGTGCTGCCTCGTGTGCACGCCAAAGAAACCTCACACAGGCCCATCTGGGACCTGTATGCAACATCACTTCATTTTCATGGTGGGAGACAGTGGGAGTGTCCCCTGCTGGAAGAATGGATGAGTAAAAGTGTCAGACCCCACCCCAGATGGCAGCATGAATGGATCTCAAAAATACAGCACTGAGAATGGGGTGCATATCACAGTAGCATTAACCGAACATATATGCAGACAAAACAGTGATACACTTTATAAGAACAAACGAAAAGAACAGGTCAGTAGTAGTAGGTGGTGGGGAAAGCAGTGGTCTGTGAGCATAAAAGAACTTTAACAAAAAGTTGGTGATATGTAAGTGGGGTCAGGCTTATTTTTTCTTTTAGGGGAATGTTTGAAACTTCACAAAAATAGGTATTTGTATATAATATGTATATACACATATAATACATACACACACGCTGCCGGGGCGAGAGCTGACTGCATCTAGTGTGTAAAGACCAAAGGTTTGCGGTGTGAGGGGCTCCTGCTGTCCTGTGACACCCTCCTCCTGCCACCTGCCACCCCTCACCCCCACAGGAGTGTCAAAGCCAGCCACATTCTGATCTCCATGGATGGGAAGGTCTACCTGTCTGGTTTACGCAGCAACCTCAGCATGATCAGCCACGGGCAGCGGCAGCGGGTGGTCCACGATTTCCCCAAGTACAGTATCAAGGTTCTGCCTTGGCTCAGCCCGGAGGTCCTCCAGCAGGTCTGTACTGGGTCCCCCGGAGCTGGGAGGGGGTGCTCTCTGCCTCCCTCCGAGCGCAGTAAGGGCTCCTGGAGGGAGGCTTTCCTGTCGGCAGGTAGACCTGGAAGGCCCCTCGCAGGGTAATGATGTGCCCCTGGCAGGTGGAGTAGGTGCCCCTCTGTGGGGGCCTAAACTGCTTGACGCTATTTCCACTCCCTTCAGAGATCTCCGTATCTTGTGGGAAGTGAGCATTTGGTGCTCTCTCCATCCTTGTACTAAGCTGGAGCCTGGGGCTCCATTTCCTGCTGCTTATTTCAAACAGTCCTTCCTTCTCAACTAGCAGCTGCTATTCGTGGTGTAGTCAAGGAGAGTCTTCGCAGCTGGCCCTGATTTGGGGAGAAGCATTCTTTCCCTCTCCTCAGTGATAGCTCCACCCCGGTCTTACTCAAGGAATAATGACCAAGGCTACAAATGGAGTGATGTGTGGCTTTTTCCTCCTGACTTAGAATCTGCAGGGTTATGATGCCAAGTCTGACATCTACAGCGTGGGAATCACAGCTTGTGAGCTGGCCAACGGCCATGTCCCCTTTAAGGATATGCCTGCCACCCAGGTGAGCTGCACCCCAGTGCCTGCCTTCTTGCCTGCCTGCCTCCCACAGATGCTTGCTGATGACCCACACACTCAGGAGCCGGCCAGAGATACTCGGGTAAAAGACAGGCTTTTCCTTCAAGAGCCCCACCCAGGGAGGTGGTTGTGTAACTGCTTCTGTGTGGTAACTGCTGTGCAGATGCAGACCAGGGGAGGGGAGCTCAGGAGCAGGCCCACTGCTAACAGCTGCAAAAGGAGGCCCACTGCCCAGGTGCCTTTAAAATGTGTAAATCAAGCTCACACATTTATAAATGTATAAAATACGTTGTC